ATAGGACTCGCATCACTGCACCAGAAAGGTCCCGTACAAAAACACTGATCAGAAGAGGAAGAGCTACAGAGGAGCTTCAGGACTGTGAAAACCTCCTGGTAGGGAAAATTTGTCTGCCTTGGACTAGGCAGGCTGCCCTTTGCAGGAAGGGAAGCTAGGACAAATGCTACAATGTACAAAGCCATCAGGCATCTCAACAGTGAATGAGCACATTAGTGAAATATCAGAGCAACCAAATCATAATTTCATGGAGTCTGTGTTCCCAACCAAACAGGGAGAGCCATCGAATGGAAAGGCATGCTCCTAGAAACAGAGGTAATCAGCGGGATTTGTCTCAGAGGACACCCAATCTTAAGCAAGCTTATCATTGTACATTTGTGGGTATATACTGGGGCCTATTTGTGAGGGCTAAGAGCGGGCAACTGCTCCATCTGAACACAGGTGTCTACTATGAAAGTGGGGAGCACCGCTCAGTCACCATAAGTTGTGAACTCCTCAGAGAAGAAGGCCTAAATTAGTGTCACATGCAGCATTCTAGCTATGCTTCTAAAATCCTAGTCAGGTGTTCTTTCTATTGCTTATCCATTGCATACATGTCAGTATAGGAGGAAGATGCAACAGATGAGGTCACAACCAAGATGCAAACACACACACACACATGTGCACACACGCACACACAGCAATCGTGTGGAGGGATGGAAAATAATATGCCCTCCCATCAGGTCTTTGGGAGGCATTATTCAGAACTACAGGACTACAGTGTGGTTAAAGGGTTTGAGTTAATTGCTCACAGAAGAAACTGTCATGTGAAACTGTGAGTTTGAGTCAGACTGTCGGAGAAAGTTGTGAGATGAGCCACGCTCCTACCCTTCATCTAGTCTTCATACGGAGAGGTGACAGTCATCAACTGAGATCATTCCTGAGGTTCCCAGAAGTCTGGAAGATGAACCTAATCTTACTTTTATAACCTTTATAAAGGGCAAAATGTTACTTTTCGATTAAAAATAGTTTTTGGAAGGCGCTACCATGATCAAAAGATTTAATTACTTAAGGTTGATAACGACACCAAAGCAGTCAGTGGTGGGTGAGTCCATTGTGTCTCTGCATGGGTTATAGTTTGGGGGCCATGGTTTCTATTTTTCTGAATCTCAAAAATATCAAACAAAATGTCAAAAATGAGCCTTGCTGTCTTCAATCATTTTTTAAACACATCTTTGGGACCCAAATGTCAAAGATTTAAGACTCACTGTGGATCACAGGAACCCAGACAAGAGACAGCAAGTTGTCAGCGATCACAGAGATCACAGAGTAATGAGCTGCACCTGCTCTCCAGCCGACCTGTCCCTGTGGATCAGTACCACCAAACGGCACAAGAGAGCAGACAGCAGAAGGAAGGAAACCTGGTTCACTGCATGTTGCTATTTTAGTTTCACACTGTGATCCGTGGTTGCTTGAGTCTGTTTTGATGTAAACATATGCACACTTCTTGTTTTCTTTTGTTTTGTTTATGCTTGAATAGGTGTAGTCAGGATTGCTCCTGTAGTCCAGTAGGCTGGCCTTGAACTGGTGATGCTCCGATCTGTGTTAGCCTTTCTACAACATAGAAACAGAATCCTTTGGGACTCCAGGTATGCGCCACCATGCTGGGGCCCATATCTCTTTATGTTAAACTGCCACCACCCTATTCCCACTTTTGCCTTTTCCCTAGTGCCTACTATACCTCTGAAGTCAGTTCACTTTTTCTTGTTTGTTCTCTACTTCCCTGTGCAGCAGGGGTCCATAGCTCACTGTGCACACCTGTGCTTACAGTCAGGCCTCGGGCTGGGAGGCAAAGGGCTTGTCTTGCAAGCAGGAGATCTGAGTCTGATCCCTATAACCCAGAGAGGAAAGCTAGGTGTGGACGAGAGAGACAGCTCATTAGGTAAAAGTGCTGGCCGAGCAGGCCTGAGCCTCAGGTTCCATCTCAGGAACCCAGAGAAAGGCAGGATTGAGGTACTGTGCCCTGTGAGCCCAGTAGTCATCTGGTAGGTGTGGCAGAGGCAGAAGTATCACTTCTGCTCTTTATAGCCAGCTGGACTGGATACAGAGTGGCAGAAAACAGACTGCTCCACCAGGGCAGACTGTGAGAATGAACTTCAGAGAGTTGTCCTGTGGCTGTGTCAAGTTATCCTGTCTTTTCTAAGATCATGTTTAGAATAACGAGCCTCCGTGAAGACTTCTGAATTCCTAACTGGATAATTTACAAATGAAAAATTCAGCAAGAAAATGCCCTAATCTGAAGGGGGTTGGTGCCATGAACTCCGTGGTGACGTCAGGGGTAGGGAGGGGCAATGGTTGGGTTCATAGCTGATGACAACACTCTTCTAAACTGATTGCATACATCACTTTTAAATTGATTGTACCTATTAACTCAATAAATTTAGCGTTCTAGCCTACTAAATTTAGAGTTCGTTGAGAATTTCACACAATTGATCATATTCATTCCAACTCCTCCCTTGAACTCCTCTCAGATCTATCCACCTCCTAATCCCCCCAAGTTTGTGATCTTTTATCATTTAAAATGTAATCAACTCCAATGTACGTGTTGGTTGTTGACCTCCCAGGAGCTACACCACTAAAGAAAATTGGCTCGCCTTCCCTCAGAAGCTTTTCTCAGCTGCAGCAGCTCATGAGGCAGCTGTCATTCCTGCTCCTGTAAGTAACCGCAGTTAAGCTCACTGGTTCACTAAGTGGGACTTTGGAGGTAGCCGTACTTTGGTCTGTCCTGGGTTCGCTATCTGGGATGAGTAGATGAGCGGTGTGTTTTATCTCCCCAGGAAAAGTTTTGTCATATGACACAGACTTCCAATGATGAACAGTCCCGCCAAAGCCCACCTTGGGGACCAGTGACTTTATTGGGCTTACTTATTAAGCATGAGGAAGGGGTTAGTTACAGGAGCGTGGGTGACCCAAAAGCAGCTGACCATCAGAAAGGTCTTACCCCAATACAAATGATGATTTACCCAACCTTCCACACTCTGTAATCTAGCATCTCTATTGGGACAGAGCCAAGTGCAGGGAGGGCAAAATTCCATGGAAACGGTAGGAGATGCAGAGGGAAGGCCTGAATCTCATCCTTTCAATCCCCTTCTTCGGAGGACAGTCAACAGCCTGATCTCCTGCGCACGTCACAGCTATTCTGATGACTGACAGCTGTCACGTTAATCCTCACCTTCTGTAACACATTCTCTTCTGCACCCCTGCCACTGTACTTGAGCCAGCCACCTGCCTACCCCTGGCCGAGACCCCTGCACTTGGCTACCTCTCTCCAAATCATTTCTCAACCCAACCAAGCCGGAGGAGAGCACCTTGGCTCCCCACAGCTCTTCTTCCGCACTCCACTTGCTGAAACAGTTTACTCCCTTGTGGGAGGGATTAGCCACTCTAAGGCTTGAATCAAGACACACCCATAAATTACAATGCTCCAACTGTTTGCTCTTTCTAAATTCCTGAGCAGGACATTTGCACATGAAAAGTTCACTAGAGCTGGTGTGTTCTAACAGAGGCTTGCGGGAGACTAATCCTGGGGTGGTGTCTCAGTAGGGCAGTCCAACTGTGTGGTTGTATGCCTCCCTTTTTATAGCATAGGGACTTGCACTTCTATTATCAGAGCTTTGGGACCGGAACGGAAGTGCTGGTAGGAAAGGCATTTCAGAAAAAACAATAGACAAGACTTGTCCTATGCCTCAAAGATATGAAGAAGAGAAACCGCCTCACTCTTTGGGTGTGATTACTTAAAATCGGCGTTTTCTGGAAGGCAATCAATTTCCTGGAAGACCTAGTTCAGTTTAGAATCCTTGTCCTCATCCCTATTCAGCGATGGGAAGGCATACTAAGCAAGCATTAATGAATCCATCACGTGTCTAGCAAGCGGTGCTGTTCAACCCCCAATAAGAAAGGCTGGATTATGCGGTTCCTTTACTCAACAACTGATGAGTACGGCCCTCCCAGCCCTAGCCAAAACAGTGCAATTTAGGGGCATGATTTGGATGCAGAATGCCTGGTTTACCACAGCCTAAGGCCAAACATCACGGGGAAGTCCTCAGAAAGTGGCAATCATTCATTACGTGGCAAACTGGCCTTATGTTAGGCCTTACATCACAGAAAAATTTTGGAATAGCGATATTTACTCCCTGGTTTGTTGCTCCCTCAAGACTCGGACAATGCCAGGAGACCAAACCAAGAGAGCTGAAAGCTTTTAGAATTCAGCCGACATCAACAGGTAACGTCCTCAGGTGGAAAAAACAATCAACCAACCAACAAACGTTGAAGGAGATACAAGGCAAGGCCTACAGCCCGGGCGCTCAGAGGAGCCTGGTAGAGAGAGCCATGAAAATGTTGGAGAAATTTCAGTGACTGGGGACTCACGTTGGGAACTGACCCTAAACCTCGGATCGGCACACCTGGAGGCCACTTAAGCTCCCCTGAGGTCGCCATCGATCAGAGAACCACTCTCAACCAATCTCTTAACCCAACACCTTCTTCCTGGCTCTCCCCACCAGAGGGAGTAGTGGGCCCCAGGGGCAACCGCGGCCTCAGTGTCCCGGCCAACTGCTAGAAAGCGGGCAGATTTTCAGAGAGCGTGGGTCGGGAAAAAAAATCCAGTCCGGGTTTTGACTGAACGGGGGGCCGGGAAGGCTGCGAGGACCGGAGCAGGGGGCGGGCGGCGGCGAAGACACCACACAAACAGCTCGCGCCCAGGACGTCTCGGTAGGCCCCGAGCGCGCGGGCGGGCGCAGGGCCCGGAGAGGCGCGCGCCGGTCGGGCCGCCGGCCGCATGGAGCGCAGCGCGGCCCGCGGCTCCCGGGCGCTGCAGGCGGAGGCACTGGCGGCGGCAGCGGCGCGCTCGCTCACACCCACCCCCGCCCGCGGCCGGCGCGCCGCCTCGCCGTAGCCGCCGGCGTCCCCGCGGGCCGGGCCAGCGAAGGCGGCGCCCGCGCGTCCTCCAGCCAGCGGCCGCGGCCAGCCCCGGAGGCGGCCCCGCAGCGCCGCAGCCGCGCGTTCCCCGGGCCCGAGCAGCCGCCGCAGCCGCCGCAGGCGCGAGGAGCCCGGCGCCCCGGGCCGCAGCCCGGCGTAGGCATGCAGGCGAGGCGCCTGGCCAAGCGCCCCAGCCTGGGCAGCCGCCGCGGGGGCGCTGCGCCCGCTCCCGCCTCCGAGGCCGCCGCGCTGGGGCTCCCGCCCCCCGGCCCCAGCCCCGCTGCCGCCGCCGCACCGGGAAGCTGGAGGCCGCCGCTCCCGCCGCCGCGCGGGACCGGTCCCTCGCGCGCCGCCGCCGCCGCCTCGTCGCCGGTCCTGCTGCTGCTGGGCGAGGAGGACGAGGACGAGGAGGGCGCGGGCCGGAGGCGCAGGGCGCGCGGGCGGCTGGCCGAGAAGCCCCGAGGGGCCGCGGAGGAGGACGACGACGACGAGGAAGAGGACGAAGAGGTGGTCGTCGAGGTGGTGGACGGCGACGAGGACGACGAGGACGCGGAGGAGCGCTTCGGGCCCCTCGGACCCGGCCGTGCGCTTCCCAAGGGCCCGGCCCGGGGAGCGGCGAAGGTGCGTGCCGGGTGCGCCGCGGGCTCTCGGGGCAGCCGGGCGCCGGGGAGCGAGCGAGGGAGGGAGGGAGGCCGAGCGGCGCTGTGCGGCGCGGGCCGGGAGGGGTGTGTCTGGCGGCCGTGGGCAGCGCGCGGAACTGCGGCTCGGCGGAGCCCTGGCGGCCTGGCGTTGCTCAGAGGCCGGGCGGGTTCGTGGTCCCGCGTTCCTGTGGGAGAAGAACGCTTCTCCCGGGCACGGTGGGGAACTTGGGAGCGGGACGAGGTAGGAGAGGATCGCCCCTGATCGGCCCGGCGTTGACATTTTTATTTTGCTTTGGGGACGCAGGAGTGTTTCCCTTGTTTAAGCTTCTGGAAACTACCAAGCAGCCTGCTCCACCTCCCTCCACCTGAGAGAGCAGTTGTTGATCCGTTTCCATCACAGGCACTTGTGAAGGAATCGTGAGCCTGTGCAGCAATGACCAGGACCTTGGTTCCCGCGTGTTTTTTGCTGGTGTCCCCCTCCCTCCCCGCGCTTTTCCTCGCCTTCCTTAAACTGGACGTCCTAAACATTTTTGTGTCTGCCCCCTCCCCGCTCACAAGGTTACAGCTGAGGGAAGAGGAAAGCGAGAAAGGTGGTGGTGGTGTGGTGACGTTCACAGTGATTGCCAGTTTCAAATGCTCGCCAAGTCCCCATCCGCGCTAAAGCACCGAGCGATCTTTCCGTTTTTGTATCTTCAGGAGATAAAGGGTTTATTATTACACAACTGACTGGCTGAGGTTCCATGCACGCTATTGGACAAAGCAAACTGCGTTGAGGTTCATGCACCGTGTATGTTGCTAAGAAGTTTTGAGGGCAGCAAGTGGCAAACAAGGGAGAGTTGTTTCTCTCCAGATAGCAGAATAGCGCAAAATTCTTGGGAGTTTTCAGAAGAAAATGCATAATAAACAAGTTGATAGAGATTATTGTTTTTAAAATCTCCTTGTATCCGCTCTCAAAAGTGGCTGGAAGCTTGAACTTATATTTACAATGAAAAGTTCAACAGCGGTTAGGGCAGCCCCGCAATAGATGTGGGAATGTGTTTCTTTTCTAGGCCACCCTGAAGTACGACTGCCTGGCTCCCAGTGTGAGAAGATTTGAGCAAATGGTCATTTGGGTGATAGTTTTTGACAGCTGCCTGCTGGAATCCGGAGTGCCCACACTCATTACTTGGCCTGCTGAAAAGCCTGCTTTGTGTGGCAACAGGATATAGCTGGGTTTCAATTAAGTTCCATAGCATCAGTGACACCGAATAAGACAGACTCCTTAGCGGTTTTGCTCAGACACACTCAATGTGTCAGGGGGTTTGAACAGTGATTACACAAATTGAGATGGAAAAATTAATAAGTTATGCTCTGTGATCCAAGCAGGCCCCATGTAGAAAAGAAGCCTGTTCTTTAAACCCAGAATAGGGTGTAATCGTTAGCATTAGCAGAAAAAATTTTTCACATATCCAAATGAATTCAAATTCTTTCAAATTTCTAACACATTGCTTTGCTCACAAGTTTTATAGCACATTGCTAACAACTTCTGAGAAGTTACATGTTGAATATGCCGCGGTATAATTTATCTTCTTTCATCACTTTAGCCCTATCCTGATACTGCATCTGAAGAGATTTTTTTTAATGGAACATAACAAATTCATTTGCATTTCTGTGTATCCATGTGCTCATTTGTTTGACAAATATTTACCGAGCACCCCCTTTGTGCCAGGTGCTACTGTGGAACACAGCAGGGTATGATTTTATCATGCTTGCACATGTGTGCAGTCAGCCAACGTGTGATCATGACACCTAGGATTTGTGCTGTAGCAACTTCAGCCTTCCTGAGGGGAGCCGGTGACCATGCCAGAGCTGGTTTAAGCAAAGAGATGGGGCTTGATTCCTAACTGGTTTCATAGATCTCCCCTCCTTTCCCATCTTAGCAAGTCTAGCAGGTTATCAGTGCACAGATATTTATGACCTGTACTTTAAACATATTACAATTATATTTGTGTATGTAGCGTGCACGTTTGCAGTGGTATGCGTAGGGAAATCAGAGGGCAGCTTTGTATGGAGTCCTTCCTTCCCACCCACCTTTCTGCTTTCCAGAGCTCAAACTCAGGTTGTCATGCTTGCACGGCAAATGTCCCCACCCTCTGGACATCTCAACTAGTTTTACTTACGACTTACAGGAAAATACCTCTAAGACTTCTGTTTCCTCCTTCCTTCTTAAGAACCACGTTTGTCTGATTTAGGAGCTGTCGCAGAAAATTGCTCTGGAGCCGGTGGGTGGAAATTTACTATGGCTGTGTATTGCAGTGAGTACCGGAGTGCGGGAGGGCAGCCAGTGGCGGGATGGCAGGCAAGCAGTTTGAAACAGCCTGGTTCTTCTGCCCACTACATCCTCCTTACGGATGTAAATCAAGTGCACTGAGTGCCTGAGCTGATCCTGCCTGGAGCTTGGTTCATGACTGAGGAAACCGAAGCAAGGGAGTGGGGGATGGGAAAAAGACAAGGATTGCCTGGCAGACCTGGGGTAACTGGGAGGGAAATGGTGCTAATTTTCTTTAGATTCTAGAAAGAAAAGAGAAGGCTTCGGGTGGGGGAGCAACACCCTTCTTGGGAGGGGACATATGATCTTTAAGCAGAGACGTGTTGTGCAGGATCCTCCAAGATCCTAGACCAGGAAGTAGCTGTTGTAACTCTCAGGTGAGAAGCTGGAACTTGGCAGGAAGGAGGTCCCTGTCTGAGGCAGGCCTGGGCCAGTATAGGGAAAGGAGGCCCTTTAAAGATACGGTGTGGTGTCACTGGGAGGTTTCATCAGGAAGAGCTCTCCAGGTGGCTGGTAGGGGGAGGATGGAGAGCAGTGAGGTGCTGTTGCTCACACAACCCTCGGAGACTGAGTGCTCCTTGGCATTAGCGGCCGGCGGGAGTGGGCTGAAGACAGTGGACCAATTCAGGGTCCCTTGTGAAGCTCATCCTGCCAGAGTGTTTGATGGCCTGGGTGAAGGACGCAAAGGAAGAGAGGAATGAACTCCTGGCATAGGATGCTGTGAGCCCTTTGCTGAGACTGGGAGAACTGCAGGCCGGAGGGCTCTGTTAGGACAGATGAAGAGTGAGGTGATGGGAGGCTTGGAGGGGGAGGTTGCAGGCAGGCTGGTGTGCTTAGGATGAGGATCTGAGGGGGAGGCCTGGGCTAGAAAGGGAATTTGAAAATCAGCAGCCTGTTGATGTCAGAGGTCTTACGGGCCGGGCTTTGGATGCAGCACCACTTCAGTGGGTTCTAGGAGAAGCTGGTGGAGGTGGTTGAAGCAGTATCAGATGTGTAGAAAATGTAATGTTTAGAAACCAAGAGAAGAAATCGCTTCAAAAACCGAGGGACAAGTAGTAAGATGTTGAATAAATACAAAGAGACATTCCTTTGTGCTGGAACTTGGTGCTGTTTTTTTTTAAAGGTTCATTCTTAAGTGTCTGGATGCTATGCCTGCATGTCTGTGTGTGCACCGTGTGTGTGCAGTGCTATGGAGCCCAGAAGAGGGTGTCATCTCCCTGAACTGGAGTTAGATGGCTGTGAGCCCTCATGTGGGTACAGGAATTGAAGCGAGGATTTCTGAAAGAGCTGCCAGTGCCCCTAACCACTGAGCCATATCCCAGCCCCCACCCGTTATTCCTGATAGAAGTTTGTGTTATAGTCAGCTGTACTGAGCCTTGACGGCAAGGCGAGGCTGTTAGGGTATGTGTATAGAACTCTCGGGAGTAAGAAAGGTCTATTTTGTTTCTTACAGGTGAGGTGAAGTGAGCTCAGGACTAGTGATGAGAATGCTGGGCCTTGTCTGAAAGACAGCACACCTGGTGGTTTTCTGTTGCTTTGAAACTTTGTTCCAGATTACCATACTTTTAACCCTCCTTGGACATAGCCAAGTCTTCCATGAGTTAGGACTCCAGTTTCAGCCTGAATTTTACCTGTTGCTAAGTCTCACAAAGCCACAGATTAGATGGGCTGATTTCTCATTCGGAGTTTGGCCAAGAAAGAATTCCCTGCTAGGTGCAGAATGAAGGGGCGGAATTCATTTCTCTGAATGAGAAAGACGAGGGCCCCAGCTTCTTGCTGACTGCACCTAAGTGCTTCATCTTTCCTGGAGCTCTTATTCCTCCAGTGTCTCCTCTACAGCTGTTTCATGTAGGCCTCCTCAGGATTGCCCCTTGTTTTATCAAACAAGCAAGGAGCCACCAGCAGGGTTATCTTCCATGGGCAGACATCAACTCCCTGTCTTTGCCACATTGTCTTGGTTGGAAACAAGTTAACAGGTTGTGCCTAGTCTAAAAGGCAGAGATTATCCAAGTAGGTGGAGATGTGAGGATCACCGGCATCATCCCTGGGAAGTAAGAAAGGAAACTGGAGCGGAGGGAGTGGGGGTGTCACTGCAAAGGGAAAGCACCTGGAAAACTGTAGAGGGAGGACCTGGAACTCAGATGGAAGAAAACTGCCCTTTGAACTCTTCAGTGAACTGGAAAGGCAGAGACGGTGGAGGACTAGCTGGGGTCCAGTTTTTATATGAATGATGATGGTCAGGTGACTAGCGCATGCCGAGAGCCTCTGTCCTCCCAGTGCAGAGAGCGGGAGCGATGAGAGTGACCTGAGGGCATTACGAGCTGGAGATGTGTCTAGGAGAGCAGGAAAGTTGCCAGACTCCATAGAGAGCCCATCTGGGGTTTGCGGTTCCCTGTGTTTATAGAGCAAGAAGCTTGCCTGGGCGTGTGGTTTCCCCAACTCCATGCTCTGGCCTCCTGCACAGAATGATAATCATAAAAGCAATCCCAGCGAACACATATGGAGTGACTCACGTGGCCAGTGCAATTGCTTTCCCCTTCACCAGGCACCATAGCCAGCATGAGTGAGAGGCAGGGCAGGTGGGACTGTTACTTTTACAGAAGGGACAAACCGCTAAGACGCAGGGGCAGGGCTCGACTGGAGCCCTGAGCAGTCTTCTGTCAGCTGCCCCT